GAGGTTGCCCCCGGCCCCAGGGCTGGTGCCACAGGCACAGTAGAACACTGGCTTGTGAGCAGCACAGGCTGTTTCACTGCTCCAGAAACATCTCGGTTTCTTGCAGAAACTTTCATTGTGGTGGCACAGCCAGATGGAGAGAAAATAATTAAATATGGGTCACTGGGACATAGCTATGATGCACTGTGGGTTCAATCACTTAGGAGCCGGGAGAGAAACCACTAGCTGAGTGCCCATCCCTTGCGCACCTCACTAATAAAAGCCAGCGTGGAGACCTGCTTTAAGCACCTAGACTTTTAGATTCTTGACAAATAACTTCTCTTTCACCAAGTGTGTAGATTGTGTTAGCAGTTCCCATTTATCAAGGCTGAGGGTTATCTCCATACTGCCCTAGCAGAGCCCGTTGATACAAACTGCCTGCTGGAAGCAAGATCCTGTTTTGTGTCTGAGTAGGAGGAAGAGATGTGGGGGCCTGCTTTTCATTTGGTCTTCCAAAAAATCCTTGTCATACCTTCCCCAAGCTTTTCTGTGGTGACAGGCACACATGGGATAAACACTTCCTTTGTACGTGGTAATGCTGAGGCTGCAGGTCTCATGTGGTCAGGATCGTGGATAACCCCTAGTTTCGTGAGACAAGGAATAAAAGTTTTAAAATCCTTTCCTTAATCTTCTCTTGAATTTTCTGAGTGTCTTTTGGTGAAAGAAAAAGGGTGTAGAACTTCTCCCCTGTCCGTACTTGTTTACAAAGAATGATTTCCAAGTGTGTATCAGGGACTGCATGCCATGCAAAGAGAATAGTATCTGCTATTTCTGCAAGCCTAGGGAAGTGTATGGTATTTGACAGAAGATTACCTCAGAGCTCTGCATATTGGTTCATTCAACACTTCCTAAAACATACCGTGTTATTTTCTAGGTCCATGTATTTTAATTCATGTGGGACAGCACACTGAAATTTCCTAGGCAAGTCCCTTCCTAAGCTACTGGTTAACCTTTCCCAAACTGTTACATCTTTAAGTTACTGCATTGGGGTGTAGGAAAATAAAGTTATAGGGCTTTTGAGCTCCATGGATGAAAGGGAGAAGCAAATAATATACTACATCATTGCAATGAATCACAGAATCATAGAATCATGGAATGTTAGGGGTTGGAAGGGACCTCAAAAGATCATCTAGTCCAGTCCCCCTGCCAGAGCAGGATCACCTACAGTAGATCACACAGGAACGCGTCCAGGTGGGTTTTGAATGTCTCCAGAGAAGGAGACTCCACACCCTCCCTGGGCAGCCTGTGCCAGGGCTCTGTCACCCTCACAGTGAAAACGTTTTTTCTAATATTTTTGTGGAACCTCCTATGTTCCAGCTTGTACCCATGGACCCTTGTCCTGTCATTGGACATCGCGGAGAAAAGCCTGGCTCTGTCCTCCTGACACTCACCCTTGACATATTTATAAACATGAATGAGGTCACCCCTCAGCCTCCTCTTCTCCAAGCTAAAGAGACCCAGCTCCTTCAGCCTTTCCTCACAAGGGAGATGTTCCACTCCCTCCATCATCTCTGTGGCTCTGCGCTGGACTCTCTCCAGCAGTTCCCTGTCTCTCTTGAGCTGAGGGGCCCAGAACTGGGCCCAATATTCCAGATGTGGCCTCACCAGGACAGAGCAGAGGGACAGGAGGACCTCTCCTTGAGCATTGCCAAAGACCAGTTCAGTACCTAGGAACTATCAGAGAGAAGCGACAATAAAAATTTTCATCTCTGACTGGACTGGGTGGTGGATATGTTACTGTGTTTAGCAATGTATTCCTGAATCGTCTTTCACTTTGGAAAGATCTGAGTTAATAACTCTTCCTTTCCTTTTAGAAGTAGTGACTGATGTTTGGCCAGTTGTCTTCCTTTTCTTTGCATAAAGCCAAGTATTTCTTTGAAGCAGTTGAGAGCTTGCATTGTGACAGACTAAAAGCTGTATAACTATTCCAAAAAGGGTTATTTCCACAGTGGAGGCTGGCTGGGCAGGTTTTCTAGTAAACAGGGAACAGTCATAACACTCAGGAGGAATATCTGTGGAGAGAAGCAATATCTGTTATCAGTACTCCTGATAGGAAAAAATAGACAGGTCCAAGGGGGAAAAAGCAGAAGCAGGGACATAACCAGCAAACTGCCAGATAAGCAAAGATTGGAAGCAATTTATCTGAGTTCAGTTACATTATTTTAATCAGTCATTTACTTTGAGATGAAAGGAACAGAGGGAATGTTAGTAAAAGGAGTGATAATAAGGTCTTCAGCTCTACTGAACACAGGATGGAAGAAATGCACAGGTAATTATTTTCTGAGAAACTGAGATTACCAAGTCGTATCTGAGGTAAATTGTAACGTGCCATAAAATTAGTATTCTTGTTGGAATAAACAATTTTTGGTGTCCCATCAAATGATTAATATTAATCTCATCTTAGTCTTTCCAGTTTGTTTTGTAGGATTCCCTTGAAGATAAGGGCCGGAATGATCAGAGGAGGATGGCTGTTTTGGGAAACATTCTCATGTTATTAACCACGTTTTTCTTTTGCTCACTGATCATGACTATGAATACACTATGGTACAGAGGGCATATAGTTCATAGGAAGAGGCATTTTGCATTTGAGGATGATCATGCTGAGGATCCATCGGTTTTCGCCAATGTGAACATGTTCACTGTTGTAGAACGTGTTTCTTGTGAGGGCTATGGTGATAAATTGCAATTTTTGCATTTATCATTCTGATATAGTCAGATATATTAAACCTTGGGAAATTTTCTTCAGATGATAAGTTTAGCGAGTTTGGTTGGCTGCTTGAAGGCTGGGCTAGGAGATAGTAGGAAAAAGTATTTTAAGATGATTCTGTGAAGATACAATCTTCTACCAGTTCATGTTTTGTGATTTCCCACATAGATTCCACTCGGGGATACTAAATGTGACATGAAGGGGAAGCTTCTGTAGTGAGTCTATATGTGTTATTTGGGTTGCTTATTCCAAGACAGAATTGTCTTTACCTTGGCAACAGCCTTGCTGAGTGTACTGGTGAGATCATCACTGTTAAAACACTTCCCTCTGTGTAAATGTTTATGGGCCTGTATCACGGGTTCGCTGGTGTCGGTGCACAGCAGTCGGATATAGACATGTCCGAAGATTTCTCTAAACTCAAAAGACCCCGATTCCAATTTTTATTCTTGTTTCCTTGTGGTTTAAAGGCAAGTGGCAGAAATAATCCAAAGGATTACAGTTTTCAGCTCAGCAGAAATGGTTTTCTTGCTCATCTTCTATCAATATAGCAAGCAAATCCTTAGGTCTGTTTTTTCACATCTCTAGTTCTCTACTTCAGCTTATTTCCTGAGGACCACCTTCCAAAACTGCAGGTGAACTTTGGCACCTACATTCATTTAGGCACCCTAGTAATAGTATCTGGTTGTCCTACTCCTGTCAGTTTAATTGAGAGGCAAAATACAGTCTCCAGGCCAGTCTTCATTTGTCACTATGCACCTACCCCAGGAGGATCCTATCTGCAACTGAGCTCGTGCTCTGCTTCTCAGCTCCCTGACCAGCCTCCTGTCCACTTAGGGAACAGTTTCAAAGCTACTCTCCTTTGCCAGATGCTGGTGGTACCTTCTGAAAGACTGAGCAATAGATGGTGCTTAAGTCTATTGTGCAACAGCGCTTGAAAAGTGCTCAGGCAGCTGAGCAGGCTTGGAAGTAGAGCACCTGAAAATCAAAACTGTTTCAGTGGTACGAAGCAGCAGGAAAGGCGGCTCACATGGAGGTAGTGCAGACGCTGTGGGAATAATGAGATGGGGAGTGAATAAAGGCAAGGGACCATGGCTGAAGTCAAAGAGGTGCCGGTAGTCAGGGCAGCATAGGAGAGACAAGAGCATCAGCAGCTGTTGAGTGATACAGCAAGGAGCACCCGAGAAGGGGTGCCAGCAGGGAGGGGGAGGGTGAAGGGTGCTGTGTAAAGCCCATGGGGAGACATCCTGAAATGGGAAAGTGGGATATAGGCAGTCGAAGAGAGTAAGGTGTGAAGGAGACTCTCTTCTTTTTCTCAAATATTTCCTGCTTGAGGCCATTTTTCTTCTTTTCTGAGAGGGAGGTTTCCTTCCCCAGAAGGAAAACAATAATTCCCCCAAGTCACTGTGTTCCAGGTTAGGTGCAGGAGTGTCCCAAAAACATCACATGGACAGGAGGGAGGTAAAACAGTGAGCAAATGGGGAGCACTGCATTTCCTTTAAGGGTGCAGGGTGGTGTCAGGGGTCCTTTGAGCTCTCGCTTCATCATATAATCATAGAATCATAGAATGGCCTAGGTTGGAAGAGACCTTAGAGATCATCTAGTCCAACCTCCCTGTCATGGGCAGGAACGCCTCTCAACTAGCCTCTCAACTAGCCTCTCAACCAGCATCATCTCCTAATAATATCTGCATGTGTAACTATCTGAAAATTAGAGAACTCAATCCCAGTTCCAGAATCTTCTGAGCATCTGAAAGAAAGGGATGGAGATACCACCAGTGGAATGGAAGCAAAGACCTGTGTTCTGGGGCTTTTTCAAATGAGGACTCTACTTTTTCAGTCATGATGAGCACTGTCAAAGTTCAGCAGT